CCTTCATGCGGGTTGCGAGATGTCTTGATCCTATTTCTGTGGCATAGCGTTTTCGCTGCGGTTGTGGTATCAAGGCAGGTCCGCAATGCGAGTCGTCTCAGTTTTCGTCTTTTAGTCTCTGCCACGATCTCCACACCGCCACATCTCCCGAAATGAATCAATTTTTCGCTCTCTACCTTATGAAACAAAGAAATCAATCACACATGCCTACACATAGGATACCGTACACAGCCAATATTTTTCTTACGTTCCGTGAATCAGCATCACGAATTTCTTATTCGCTGAATCAACAAAAGTATGACACGATCCCCTCATTCACGACGGAGCTTGGTCGCATAGCACAAGCTCCATCTCTTAGTTGGCTCCGACTAAACAACAAAAAGCGAGAACAACCTCCAAACAAACGCTCGCATGCATCCGAGCCCACAATATAGCACTCTCCAAAAGCAGCCAAGAGTTGGAAAATCGCAGCAACGTCAAACATAAGTGATTCTGACATCCCTGAAAACAGACATTCGGACGATTTTACAATCAAACTAACATTCTTAACTTCTTATTGGAAAAACTCACTACCAACACTTATTCATATATCTTCTCATATAATATTCGAAACCCATACTATCCTCCTTCACTCGTCTCTCGCGCACGCGTTTATAGTTCAACGAGCCCAACCATAAGGCAGCTAGATACACTCAACTGGAAGATCTCTACATCTCACGAATATTCGCAGATTTTGCCCTATCGACTCAACAACATATTAGCTGACTAGGCAGACTATTGCCAGGACTAACAGCTTCACCTCCTACGCACTCCTTCTCTCTTTAACACGACTAGCGTCGAGCAATAATCTGAGTTCTTTTTTTTCTTTTCTTTTTTCTTCTTGGTTCACACATAAGCAACAGGCACCTAATTTCGCAGGCCGGAACAGATCAGCAGACAATATCGTGGAAGATCTGGACTGCCTCACACAATACGGTGGACCAAGCTTTGTCCAGAAAATATGCCAGGTGATGTGCAAGAAGAGGAAGAGGAGGCAATGAGGGTCCCTTGTCTCCCTCTCCTCCCCGCGAAACAGTCAATTGTAACGCAAAAACATAACAAGTGTTTTTTAGCCACGCACCCATCTATCTCTATGCTTCGTTTCCTTCTTTGGCAAATGAGTCTAGTGGACGACTACCCAATCTCCTTCTTCTTACACAACCGTCGTTGGTGCATTTATCTTGCTCTTACAACCTTCTCCTTCTTTTCTCTGCGTGTGCCCAATGGACATCTGGGCTACCGTCCTCCCGTCTCTCCCTCAAATACCCTCCGACCGCCCCTGTAGTTCCATGGCCTCTGTGACATCCAGCCTATCTAATCATCAGCTTTATACCTACTTCACCCACTCCCGATTTTCTTTCTCCACCCTTCATGAGTATTCCTTTCTCCCCCTAATCCAAGGTGGATCCACCGTTATGACAATTTTTTACTCTATATCTAATTTCAGGTTCAGGAGGAGTCAATTTTCACTCTCTATCAGCCAAAGATAGATTAATTCTTTTGCTTCTATTAATATTCTACAATTATGCATCTGTTCAGCCCATCATTCTCACGTCTAGCATATTATCTCCTTCCCATAAATAATACACTGAATGCCCCCACCTTTCCCCTTTTCATCCAATGGCAAAAAAAACCAAACAATTTTTTTTTTATTTTTATTTTTTATTTTATTATTTTTCATTTTTATATATTTTTTTTTCCCTTTCCCCCAACAAACGTATGTCCCTCACCATATACTAACTCGGAAACACCACCATGGCGTCAACACGTCAGTGGTAAAATCGTCACGAGTACTCGCTGTCTGACTCTCAACCCTCGTTTCCCTCATGATTGAAAATTTCTTGTTAAATATACTGGTACTGACAATGAATAAAAACTTGTGGACACGCTAATCCCCTTCAGATCACTCTTTCGTATCCATAAAGACCTAAGTATAAAATTCTTGACATTCTAGACTTCGCTATACGCTTCACAGATCAACCCACTATACTCACTTTTGAACTATAGCAAACATAACACCAATACAGAATGATCAAAAGTCACCAGGATCGCTACTCTACATCATCTCCTCGACATTTCATTTGCCTCACCTAAATGTATTACCACGTTCATTCCACCCCGCCATTCCTTTCCTCTCCCTCCGTCTTTCCCCCACCTCTCCCTTTCTCACCGACCCCCCCCGTCCACTCTCCCCCCCTTCCCCCCTCCCCAGCACGAACCCCCCCCGACACCTCTCACCAACCCCTCTTCTCGACAGATGTATTCAGAACCCCCAACTCTCAGCCTATAGAAGGCACATAAATATCTTTTGTTAAACCCACAACACTATCTCATAAAAACAAATAGTAAAAGAAGAAATCCAATTCACTGGCACACACGCCTCATAAACACTTGCTAGTGAACACGATAATACCTATCCTCTGTAAAAATAAGAATATGTCACAATATGGCGACAACAAAGACATCTATTTTTTAAAATTAGGGGGCCTATTATCAATACCTCATTAAGCTACGCGTTCATTCGGCTTTGGTTTTTAGACGAGTTCATCTTGGGGGACGGGCTTATGAAGTATTTTTTTCTCCTTCGCCATTTAATGGAGACAGGGCCTTTTATTTACAGCAGAGGAGTGTAGTCAAAAAGCTAAAAAGCCAAAAAGCCAACCCACTCCCCAAACGGAGGCTTAAATGCATCTTTAACAAATTGGCAAACTAGCAAGAACAAATGAGATGATCTTACTCACTGCGACGTTTTTGCACGCATCTTACTTTAATGATATTTGCTGTAATATACTTTGTATTTCACTTTTCATCAATATAATCTTTTTTTTACTGATAAAAAAAAATTGAAAATAATTTTACAATCTCAGTGATGCACACAGCCTAATCATCATATAAACCAACTACTGTTACTTCTTTTTTCAATTTTGGTGGACTTCAACAAATTTTTTTTTTTAAAAATAATTTTTTGATTTTCAATTTTTTCATAGTTTTAAAAAGCTGTTGGGTAATTGTCACAAAAATTATTTTTTGGTTAAGAAAAAAAGTTCTTTATGAATTTTTCCAAAGTTTTGCTTTTTGATAAAAAAAAAAAAAGAAAATTACCACATTACCATCATTAATATGGTATAAGTAAAGATACACAATGAAATTTAAAAAAATATGTTTTTAAGCTGCTAAAATTCTCAAATATATTTTTTTTTTAATGAAAAATTTTGTTTTAAATTATAACTAAACAAACCAATAGACTTTTTAACTTTTGACTATTTTAATTAAAAAAACTGTTTATTTAGAGATTACCAAATAGAGCTTAATCTATTAAAACACTCAAGTAAAATCAATGATATTTCTGAGAAATCTCCTGCAAACAGAGGCAAAGCTCCTTGGGTTTAGATAGGATGATCATGTGGTCAGCATTTGCAATGGACTTGACTTCATCAGGTGGGCTATTCTGAATAATCCATCTCTGAAATTCGGGTTTCATAAGTTGGTCTACTTCGCACACTATGTAAACCCGACTCATCGACCCGTATCTCGCTTCTGTTAGAAGCGATTCCTTGGCCACGTCATCAAAGAACATCCCGTTGGGCCTCACTAACGTCTTCGCTAATTCCAGGTCCTGCATGAATCCCAACCCAATGAGGCTCAAATCTCATTATTATAAGAAAATTTTGCATTTGAGATGACCATTGTCTTCTTATCAAATTAAAAAAAATAATAATAATAATTTTAAGAAATTTATTTATATTTATTGTTATTCAATTAAAAATTTTGAATAACCTAATTAGGAAAATAGTATAAATGCATTTGTTTTAACCAAAGGTTAGGTCTTTAATTCAATTTACCTTTTCCATTTTGCCATATAATCGAACTAGTCGTGTAAGTAGAATCACTCTGTGCAGTTTATGCTCTTAATGTTTGAAAATGACAATATAACCCTTTGTGGTTTGTAAACTGAAGTGTACCGTTAAGACTGTTAACAATTTAATAAAAAAGACTAAAATACCCCTATATTTTCATCATTTCTTTAGAAGGAAAAATACACTTTGACCCATGTGTTTTATTTTATGTGCGCTTTACCCCTTTCAAATTTGAAATTGACTATATAATCCTTCTGTTTGGCACGGGTTTCACACTTAATGTTAAGTTGAACGGAATGTTTAACAGTATTTAACTGTGCAATTTAGTCTATCAATCAAATAGAGGTTATGTGGTTATTTCCAAATATTAAGGGGATAAACTGCACAGGACCCAAACCAAAGGAAAATAAAGTAAAATTTACCCCCAAAAATTTATGTTATTAATTATTAGTATTTATAACATTTTTTTTTTATTTTTTAAATAATTTTTGACTGACACAACTCAATGTAATTCCCCTTAGAACTATATACACAAATAGCTAACCTATATCTATACCTATACGAAACAAAGAAGGGTTGAGATTTGGCAATTTCAGTCACCGGCGATGATGATAAATAAACAAAAATGTTTTAAAACTTTAATTTGTAAGTTCTAATAGCTCTCATATTTATGTGGGGCCCATCTAATATGATATTTAGGCCTTGTGTTTTTTTTTTTTTTCATCTCACTAGAGCTCAATTAGACTCTAATTTTAGAAGGATATACCATTGTTGATAAATAAATGAATCAGGAGAGATGCTATACACCACTACAGAGTGTGTACTATATGTACTTATTTTATTATAAAATTTTGTAATATTAATTAAAAAAATATATATAATTTCATCATAAATTGATGTAATAAAAATGTTTAAAATTTTGTATCTTGGTTATGACATTTTTTAACACTAATTTGTGACTAGATTATGCATTTTGTAATTAATATTATAAAATTTTATGATAAAATTATACATTTTTATAATAAATTGCATATGACGTAAACCCCTTAAATTAGCTACCTATTTTCTTTATTTATGAGGTTATTTAAAATAATCTAAATAAAAATATTTTTTTATTTTTTTTAAAAAAGATATAAAAAAAAAAGATAATATAACTTAAAAAAAAATACACTTTTATAGTGCACCAAAACACTCTCATACTCTCGTGAGCAAAGCAGCACTTAATGGCCAAGAAAAAATAGCAAAATAGAGAGCTACCCATTGACCTAAAATTTGTCATCCAGATTTCCATTTTTGGTATATTTTTCATGACATATACAATCTGTTTCTTTCTTTCTTTCTTTTTCTTAGATTTAATATACAATCTGTTTCAATTTCAATTTTTACCGATATAAATGAAACCAACATAAAAGTATACTTTTTATCACTGTCATTCCCTTTAATTTTTGAAATACCACTTCCACACCCCTGTCAGATAACACAGGTTATTGAAACAATGAATTTACGACAATACCCTTGCCATTGTTCTTACTATGTGGCCCTTGTGTGACCTTCACCCCATCCTTAACATGAGCAACAAGGAGGACTCCACGACGTATTGGGATTTTTTTGTCAATATGAAATCGAAAAATATTTTCATAAAATATTAAATGGTTAATTATTTCTGGTCTTGGTGCTACAAATTTAATATGGTAGATATATGCACCACAAAAAATTAAGATTTTAGGGACCAAAATTTAGGATCAAAATTATTTTTTAGGGACCAAATATTTTTGTTGCGAAAATTGTCGTTATTATATTTTTACCAACGAAAATTAGACATTAGTGATGAATTATATCAGATTTTTTGTTTCAAAAAATAAAACATTTTGAGACCAAATTATTTGGTCTCTAAAAGTCTATTTATTAGTGACATTTTCAAAATTTTGTCACTAAATGCCTTGTTGTACACTTTTCGGAACGACCTTTTAGCGATTATTCTCATGACGATAGAAATTGGTCCCTAAGACTTCGTTTGGGAATAGGCTAATTTAGTAACTTTTCGGCTATTTGACTAAAATATGAGCTAAAAAAATTAGTATGTTTGGGATGATTTTTTGGCTTTTTACGAAAAGATGTGCAAAAAGTAGAGAAAAAATAGAATTTTTGACTTTTTAGTATGGGTTGTTGACTTTTTGACTTTTTTAGTAACTTTTTGACTAAACCGGTCTGTTGCCAAACGAGGCTTAAATATCTTTTGTAACAAAATTTTTATTTTTAAATATCAAAATATTTAATTTCTGAAACTCTTATATATTATAGTGATGATGCATTAATTTGGTACACATGATTTATTGGAAGCTGCAAATGGTGGGCTGCACTTGAAGGATGTAAATAGATTTGTGGCAGATTGCATGGAGTAATGGAAAGGCATTGCATGATGGAAACTTTTGGCTCGCATCATGGGGAAGACCAAACGTGTATCAACTTTGTGCATCTTCTCAACTACTTTTTGTATTATATATAAACAATAATGATTCATTCCCCTTTTCTTCCCACCCCCTTTGACCCCTCTCTCTCATTTGTTACATTTTCTTTTTATTTTTCTTTTTTTTCCTGCTCCTCCAATCACCCCCGCCACGTGACAAAGAGGGTGAGGGGGTGACCCCCAAAAGGAGGTCCCAAGAATTATTCTATATGTAAATTAGTCTATCACCCGTACTATGTACGGGATAATTATAGATATTTATATTTATTTTAGATTTTTTTTAATGTATAAATTATATTTTTTAAGATTTTTTATAAAAATAATTTAACAATCTTATCACTAACCATAGTATATGAGAGAAGTTGAAAAGGATACTGCAATAACTATACACAAATTGTATCTATAATTATTTGTATGAGAGGATTTTAAATGCTGATCAGGGGATTTTATCAATAAATGCAGGCATGTGGAAAGACATGTGGATTGAAAAAAGTTAATAAATGCTGATCAAGGGATTTTGACCAAATCAATAAATGCTGAGTTTTTTTTTTTAATAAAAAATTTAGAAAATTCATATTGGGATATTGAAATTCCCACAAGCCTTGGGGGTTAAAAACCCCCTTTTGCTTAATATATAGTATAGACTAGCCTATCACTCATGCTATGTACGGGATAATTATAGATATTTATATTTGTTTTAATTTTTTTTAATATATAAATTATATTTTTT